CTCTCTTATGGAACCAATTTATTTTTCTTGTGGCAGAATACATCACTGAATGTATACTAATATTTCTGGACAAGGAACTCTTATATTTATAACAAATTTACACAAGAGCATTTTATAAAAAGTGGGTACCCTATAAGCTAGAAAGCAAACATTTTGTAATGAGTACTGTGAGATGAAAAGTGTCCAGTACTGACAGCACTTTTCATTTGTAAAATATTTTAAACCATATATGTGAAAATTTAGAAAAATCCAATTTTTACTTATTATATAAAGTTGTTCTTCCTACAGGAAAGGGATGATAAACCTGGTCATATAATCAGCCTATTAACATATTCTGAAGTTAACAAATTATCAAAATTCTTATTTCAAGAAGGAAGGGGAAAATATTTATTGTTTACAAATGGAAAGATGCAACATGTAAGATAGATAAACTAAATTAATCACCTACGAACAATTCAGTAGCTCTAAGAGTCTAGCTGATATAGTATCAACAATAACGCATTACAGACTGTTTCAAGAACCAGCAGGAAAAGAGCTGGTAAAAAGAAAAGGAAATAAGAAGGCTCGTTGCTTGACTTGATTGGTTTATGCTATGTATTTGGGTTGAAATTTTGCAGTGTCCCTTAAATGTACAAGTGTTACATGTTAACCAAAAATTAAAAAAAAATAAAAAACTCACACTAATATTACACTAATATTAATGGTCATGTTAATGTCAGCTGAAAAATGACAAACTAAAATATGTCAAATGAACAGCAATAGGTAGAAAAAGGTATTTATTTCATTAAAATAACATTATGAAAAGTAGAATGTTTTAAATATACTTTTTAAAAAAATCAAGATTCCTTTAAGCTAAACATGGAAGTAGTGGAATGTGGTGCCGTGTTTACTCCTTATCTATAAAACAGAATTCTGCTGTACCAGTGGTCCTGTATGGTCTGTACTTTTACCAGCATTCACAGACTTAAAAATACAAAATACACCAACTCTAGCACTTCCCTTAGGCAATACTCTTCAGTATGAGATACTTCAGCAGTGGAGTATTTCTTCTGGAAAACACTGATGAATAGCAATGGACAGAAAATATTGCATGATTCTACCCCTGCAGATTCACAATGATTATGCATCAAAGTGGAGCCTCATTTTTTTTTCTTTTTGTTAAGATAAAGATTTGTTGGTTTATTTGAAAGTCAGAGCTAACGAGAGGGAGGGAGAGGCAGAAAGAAAGAGATCTTCCACCTGCTGATTCACTCCCTAGTTGGTTCCAACAGCCAGGGCTGGGCCAGGTCAAAGCTAGGAGCCAGGAGCTTCATCTGGATCTCCCACATGGGTGGTCAGGGCCCAAATACTTCGGCCATCTTCCATTGCTTTTCCTAGGCCACTAGCAAGGATTTGGACTGGAAGTGGTGCAGCTAGGACTTGAACTGGTGCCCATATGGCATCCCAGGGGCAGCTTTACCCACTATGCCATAATGCCGGCCCCTGGAGTCTGATTTTTCCATGGCATTAACTGTCTGTTACCTTTCCTACAAATATCACAGGTCAGTAAAGAGTTTTTACAGAGGAAAACTTTTGTTTTCTTACACTACTTCATAAAAGTTAACCAAAATGTCAAGTCCTTTTATTTCCATTTTAGATATGACAATTATGTACTAATACCAATGAAAGAACTATTAGGTTTATCACATTAGCTAATTGTATTGATTTTAAGGCACTAATATCATATCACTCTTCCCCTTATCATTCCAGTTTTATTTTAAAATATTAAGATTTGCGGGGCCAGCATTGTGGCACAGCGGGTTAACACCTTGGCCTGAAGTGCCAGCATCCCATATGGGTGCCGGCTGCTCTACTACCTATCCAGCTCTCTGCCGTGGCCTGGGAAAGCAGTAGAAGATGGCCCAAGTCCTTGGGCCCCTGTACCCACATGGAAGACCCAGAAGAAGCTCCTGGCTCCTGGCCTCGGATCGGCGCAGCTCCAGCTGTTGCAGCCAATTGGGGAGTGAACCATTGGATGGAAGACCTCTCTCTCTCTCTCTGCCTCTCCTCTCTCTGTGTAACTCTGACTTTCAAATAAATAAATAAATCTTTAAAAAAATTAATATTTACTATGTAACCAAATATACACACACACACATATATATATATCAAAAGAGTAAAGGATGATTGATTATAGAGAAAAGCTTAAACATCTCTTAAATCTCTTTTAGAGTTCAATGTGTATCTCACCAAAAATAGTATCCTAATTTAAGAAGCAGCTTATTTTAGAGAAATTCTTCCTTCTATGTTCATGAGAACACAATTTTCCATGTCAAAACTTGCTCCTTAATATGGAAGGTTAAGCTTACCTTCTACCAACTTCATGTATTGATTTGCTCATTTAGTTTTTGTATTGAAGTTATACGGTCATGATTTATGAGGTCATAAGTGGACATATGAGGGACAGATACATGAGGTCAACTGAGCCAAGGTCACAAAACTAAAAAGTTGTACAGCTAAGATTAGTACCTTGGCAGTTCAGATCCAGAATTCACTCTTACACCTTATGCTATGCTGCCAGTTAAAAAATTACTTAGCTTGAAAGATCCCTTGAGAGCCACCTAAGCCGTTCTTATGTATTTAACTGGATCTTACAAAGCAGATCTCAAGGTAGATATTTTCATTTATATCTGAATCTTCTGTATAAAGGAAAATGTTCAAAATTTATGACTATGTAATAAATATGTAGAAAAAATACAGTAAATTAAAAGGTTATTTTATAATTGTCTGATTTACATCAAATGGAGCCATTTTTAAAACATAATAGCCAGTAGTTCTACCATCTCAGGATATTATTTTATGCTATCAACTTTGACTATAAAGTTTATCTTTATAATGGCAGGAAGTAGGTTATTAAACTGTGTTCAGTATGCAACATGGTACAAGAGGATAGCATTTAAAATACGAATGAAGATTGTGGCTCATATGTTATATTGGCCACATAACCAGCTATATCACCAACCACATGAAGTCATTTTAAAGTCTACAATCTTTAGTTTCCTTATCTATATATTGAAGATAGTATATATTACCTCAAAGGCTTATTGTAGAGGAGAAATAAAGAGATAATATATATATTTAAATGTACTCTGCCATTCATTCATTCATGTTTGAAATCTTTTTTGGATCTCTTTCAATTAATGGCCCTAATGTCCCTGTGGTGGTGAGCATCATACATTAATTATCTTTTGGGCAAAGCAACACATTCTCCTCTTTATCTGATTTTATCTTCGAAATTTTGGAATTTATTAGAAAATTATATGCTTTGCTTACCTAGTTATTTTGATATCTTATTTTTTTTTTTAATTTTAGTTACTTATTTAGTAGGCTGAGAGAGAGGTAGAGACAGGGAGAGGGTTCCCATTAGATGGTTCACTCCCCAAATGCCTACAGCAAAAGAATTGGGTCTAGTAGAAGCTGACAGCTAGGAAATCAACGTGGGTCTTTCAAGTGGGTGGCAGGAACTCAATTACTTGAGTCACCATCACTACCTCCAGGGTTTGCATTATCTGGAAGATGGAGTCAGGAATGAAGCTAGTTACTAAATTTGGGTACTCAAATAGGGAACGTGGGCATCTGAAGGCAGGGTATTAACTTTAGTTAGGCTAAACATCGGCCTGTCACTAATTATTACTTTATAATTCAGTCTGTATTCATGAAACGTTGTAAGCAGTAACGTGTCAAAACTGTTTTAGAACCAGGAATACAAAGATAAAATTCCTGTGCCTGTACATAAAGGGCTCAAAATCTGGGTTTTAAGAGACAAAACAAAATAAAACAAAACAAAACAAAACAAAAAAACACTAACTAGACTAAACTAAATCAGTTTTATTCTAGTGGCAAAAATGGTTCTTTGGAAACACAGAGGGAACTCTTGGGCTCTGTCAGTACCAGCTAAAACTTCATAAAAGTGATGACATGCTATGAAATTTGAGGAACAATTTCTGTCACAGGAGAATCAAAAGCAGAAGACAAAAAGGAAACTCTTATAGAACTAGATCAATGTTGAAAAAGGTAAATAAAGCTTAAAGTTGAAAGTCTAACAACAAAACGGGAAACTCCAAAGAGAATCTATGTGTTTTTAATGCTCCTTCCCTGAGATAAAATTCAATTAAATGAAGTTGCCTGGGAGAAGCACTGTGATTGGTAGTTTGAAAACTGAATATCCACTTGGTAGCAGAAAGGATAGAATCTCCAGTCCTCCACTGGTACAGAAGAATGAGGCACATGAATCCCTATCAACGAAATAAAAGCAAGCTTTTTAAAAGTGGACCCATTTACTTCAAATGTTCTTTTCCTTTTCTTCCTTTATGCATATTCATTTAGTACTTATGTATTCTATAAACTAATTTTAACAGTTGACAAGATTTTTGTTTAACCTTTAGCTTTGCTTTTACTTAAAAAAATAAACATATTCAAATTTTTAGGACGAAAGTAATAAAACACACATTAAATGCCTGCATTTTAAAGGTTAATGGGAATAAATCACAAATGGAAGCCAACTTGCCATCTTCATGACGGAGGTACTGGTTCCCGCCTCTGTCTCTAGCTAGGGACCATGCCTCTCCTTCATCGCTCTCACAGAACTCTACCATGCTGCTCTGATCCAGCTGCACCCACGTACCTTCAGCATTGGTCACCTGGCACATAACAGAAAGCACCATTGATTGGCTGCACACTTTCAGGGTATTCAGGTTGAAAACCAGTAAACAGCTTAAAAGTGAATTTTGTTATCATTCCAATACATTTCTACCATGAAATAAGTTTCTGAAATTAAGACCACAGCCTGAGGTAAGATAGAAATCAATGAAAACTTCTGTAAAGCACTGTTCAAGATTCTGGTTAAAATAATGATTTTAAAGCACAAAAAGATAATCTCTAAATAACTTTAAGCATTACTAAAAACATATGGCTCATTTTTGTTGTTTATATATAAAATGTCCTTATATTGTTCATATGTTTTCCTTGTTTAGGTTGATAGTACCTATAGTGCAACCTGAAAATGACCCTGACACTGAGAAATAGCATGACACACTACATCTTCAAGCTTGTCAGCTGGGGCAAATGCCACAGTGGCCTAAACAGTAAATTTATTTGCTCAGGACTTCAGTGAGACCTATAAATGGGGGAGGAAAAAATGAAACTCTTTGTATATGATCACATCTCCATACTGATTCACATAAAGTACTTTAAATGCTGATAAACCATGACAGTACAGTACATCTGTAATCATGAAGAAATACATGCAAATATTCAACATTTAAATATACAGTTAAAATCACTTAATATAAATACTGTTTTCATAAGGATAATTATGAGAATAACATTATTAGAAAATAGATACAAAGTCATGTTAGTATTTTCAATAGGAATAAAGATAAAGAACATTAACATTTAAAAACCTGGAACAGAAATGGCAACCTTTAGAAGAAAGAGATGCTTTGGTTTTATGATATTAGAAATGAGAATTGTAGAAGTCATGAAGCTACAAGAATCCATACCTCTCCCACTGCTTTGACTTTGTTTCCCAGAACTAACATTCCAATTGGGATACCTCTAAGGTTAGGGCAGCTTCTGATGTTGTGACCTGAAGGTCCGGTCTTCACTACCTTGTACATGCCTGGCCCTCCTCGCAAGAATGGCATGTCTTGTTCTTGCATTGTTGCTTCCTGTGGGCAGCAGGTGTTTATGTCTTTGAAAAAGTCATCAGTATTAGTTTTAGGTTCCTGAAAATTTGAATAGGAAAGAAAACAATAAACAAAATACAATTGATGATCATTTTCAAAACCCTTCTAAGTAACAGTTTCATATCAAGTTCTATAATATTGCTAACTAAGAAAATATATACATAAAGAAAACTGAAACATTAGTCAATATCCCTATTATAAAATTCTTTAAATTTTACAATACTGAATGATATTTAAACTAAAATTACATAGAAGAAAATATAGCAGAAGAGTGAATCTCTGATTTTTGCCACCACAATTTGGGAATAACAGGATGGTAAGACCTGATTTTATTTTTATCTTTTAATGCAGCATTTAACAAAAGGAAAAGAAAAATACCTTTCTACATGAATCATGAATAATTCTATTTTATTTTGGTATGGGCAAAAAAAGAATAAATATTTCTTCCACTTTGTAATAATTTCTTATAGAGAAAATAGATATAAGAACACTGGAGACTTAACTATCAACAGAGATAACAGTGATGAAAAATACACATAAAACAGAGGTAAGTCTTTATATTTGCTAGCTATTAATAAAATACAAATGCTTACAAGACTTTAAAACTTCATATTTTCCTAATATTCTACAAATGAGATTGTCTTGCTAGATTTGCTAGGCTATTACTACACAGTGATACATTAATGCTAGTGACAGAAAAGGTTATATTTTAGTAGAGAGGAGAGATGAACATTAAAAATGCACTTTAAGTAAATGTAATGATTTGAATTTAAAACACCAAGAAGTCATTTCTAAAATTAAAAAAAACAAACTTATCCTAAATTTTCCAATGATTCTGAATGCTATGATGAAATTGTTCCCTATGTGAATGTAATAAAGAGAAATAACTTTTCCTAATTTTCTTTCCAACTAAGTCTAAATAAAAGTTCTACCCTAGGGGTTCTTCTATTGTCATTATTACTCCTTTAAAACAGATTCACAATTTGCACTTTTACAGTTATATGGATTGTACAAATTACTTAACATTCAAATAGAGTAAAAGATAACTACAATGGGATATTCACACATTAGGTTAAATAATATTTAATAATGCTATAAATAGAATATTTGAAAAATTAATATATAAAACAAAATTTTACTGAATAGTTCTCTCTCTATAAGTAGTTCCATATACATAGAACATTAAAAATAAAATGTAAAGTTAAAAAAAAGTGGATTCAAGTATTCTTTGTACTTGTTATTTTATTCTTTGTACTGTGTGTTCACCCACCATTAACATTTCTGTAATATTTTGTAAACCTCATCAATTTTTACTTGAACAAATGCTTAAAAATATATACTATGGACAATAATTTATTTACATTTACTGAAATTATCACACTGTATTTAACAATATACTTAAATTAGGTATGAGTTAATTTTTTTGAAGAGAATTTCACTGGCTCTACAAGTGAAAACAAATTTAAAATATGCATTTCATATAATCATGCATGTATAGTCAAAAAACTTATCTATATGTACATCTATCTAAATAGAGCATTTAAGATAAAAATTGAGAGTAAAATATATGGAAACTTCAGATGATACTGTACTCACAATTAATGAACAATTAAAAATGTTTAGTCATTAATGATGCTTTATTAAGTATATCATATCATTAGTTGGAAGAGGAAGTTTTAGTCCTATTTACAGCTATTAAAATTTTCAGTGATGTAAAAAATAAGTAAATGTACATAGATTTATCAAAATAGCAGTTTCACTCATATTTAATGACATTACAACATTAATTCCAACTTTAGATCAGGCAAGATAATACTAGGAATATAAATGTTGGTAAAACTAATAACTGCAAACAATTAACTATAGGCTAACATATAAGAAAGATTAAAATAGTTAATATTTTTTGGATAATAATTTAATTAATAACTGACCGATACCAAATCGTAGATCTATACCTGTCATTCTCAAGCAGTCCTAAAACATACTTTTTATTCACCCCAGAAACGTGAGATTTGGGTACCAGTATATGAAAATTGGTGAGTTTAAATATTATTTTTTCCTCCCTCTATTCCCACCCCATTCTTAGATGAACATCCAAAAGGGCAAAGTGGAGGAGTAGGCAGTGGAAAACTCAGAAAAGCTATAAGATGAGGACAATATCATCTAGATAAATTAATTCTCTAATAGCTAGACTTACAACTACTGTTGCAGAAACAAAATAAAAACTGAAGGTAGGTCAAAATTTCACGTAAGCCATTGGCAGGTTTAAAGGCACAAATCAACTGCAGCACTTCATACAGATGTTTTCATTGGTAAAATAATTTTTTGCTAAACTTATAGAATTTGAAGAGATAATGTAAAATTTGTTATACATACTGAAATACCTGAATAACGTATAATTGTTCCTTACAGTTAACTCACCTGGGGGAAAAAAGCTTTGGAAGTCCATGAAAATACGTCCAAATCCCTGACTCCTTGGCTAGCATTAAAGATATTCTGAGCGACAAAGTTTAAGAAAGAGAAATATCAACAAAGAAAGGGAACAGGATATCAACTGCAGAAAGATGCGTTCACAGTACAACATTTTTCTGTGTTCTAGCACCAAGAGAGAAATGTTATTTTACTAAAGGGAAACTGAAGCCACCTGAGTAAACCATACATCAAGGAAATTCTGTTAAATAAACTTTTTTGGTCAAAAGCTCTCCACGGATATAGTGTGTCATGCCATTTACTAAAATTAAGAGCCAGACAGTGTTATAAAGCTTGAGACAATCAATGCCAGGAAACCTTAAAGCCCCTTAAATCAGGATGTATATGTTCTAAAACAAGCTAGATTTGTTTTATGACAGAAAACAGTCTGCTGTTTCATAAAGAAAATTTGAGTAATGTAGACTGTATAGAAAATGCAACTATTATTGTGACAAATAATGGCATGTAGCATATGTACAATAATTACCACTTTCTAAAGTACAAAAATAAAATGGTAATATAAAAACCAAAAACTAACTTATTTTGCAACTTTCTTCCCCTCTGTGAATGGGAAAAAGATTATCTGGAAGTGTTTCAGCAAGCAATATGTAAATAAAGGCATTAAGGCATTAAGAAAATTTGACTGTTTTATGAAGAGGCAGGCCTACTTTTCTCCATCTCAAAGTTTAGGAAATGCACAGGGCATTTAAGATTTCTATGCTAAAGTCTGAAAAATGTTTCATTAACAATACATTTCCAGCAACATGATCATAAAAAAAAATCAACATTTTCAAAAAATGTCTTGAAAGTTTTTCTATGTACATATGTTATCAGTCTGTATACATTCTATCTTTTAAGTGAGTAGCAATTGCACAATTTTACTACTTATGTAAATATTTTGATAAATGATTGTTTTATACCAAAAATAGGAAACTTGAAATATTCATAAAAATATTCATCTAAGAATGCAAAACAAAGGATACATCACGGTTCACAACCAATAGTATGCCACTTTAGACAATAAGAATTTATTTACTATTCTCTAGTTCTGCTTTTCTCATGTACATATGAGTATTGATGGATGTAGATACACACCCACAAACATACATATATGCTAATTCAGAAATATAAAATCCAGAAAAAATGAGTTTCTAATAAATAAAGCTAAACAAAATAAAAAACCAATACTACCCTTTCCCTTTATGTTGGAAATGGTTAATAAATAAGATTCTTCCTCTGTGGAAAGCGGAAACATCGCAAAGCACTTTGAAATGCTATTATTTTTAGGAAAAAGATGTCTTTACTGGTTCATTCATCTATAAAAGAATTTGTGGAATATTTGCTCAATGAGTTTTCTCCATCACAAAGAAGAGTGGTGCAGACCTTTTGACATAAAACAATATCAAATATTTTTTTAGCATCTTCTAGTTTTTGGCATATATTATTCTACTATCAGAAGTAATGTAAGAAGCAACAGATGAAGTTAGTGAAAAAGAAGCAATGTGGTGACTGATTAACAACACTTACACTTTATATCTGTTTTTTATTTCAACGAGCAATCTCAAATGTTTTATGAGTTGCTCAAAAGTACAATGATACTTTCATGAAAAGTGATGCAACTGTTAACCATGTTGATAAATTACCAATAAAATAAATTTTGTACTAAATATGAATTCAAATTTGATACTTTTGCTTTTATTCTGTAGCTGCAGGAAATTCTTAGCCCATGTTAATTTATGTAAGATTATTTTCAAAATGTAGTCTCCTAATAAAATTGCATTAATCAAATTTCAAAAAGTCACTAAACAGGAAGCTGGAGTTTAAAATTAAAGTATATTTCACTAGCCTTCTTTTAAAAATTTAGCAATATTTTAGCCTAAAGATATGAACATGCTTGAAAATACTGACTTCTCCAAAGTCTCAATTTATATATATACATGTATATATATAAATTAAAATCATTTTATTCTCAAATGCTATTTCAAAAGCAGAAAAGTATTATCGAGAGAATTAGATAGGTAAAATACACTAGAAACCTAACTATATTAACAAGCACCAAATTGCAACTCTGAGCTAATTATCTTTCAAGGCATAGAAGAGATCAAACAAGTGCATAATCAAACACTGAAAATATATGATGCAACATGCCAAACGCTCATGCAAAAAAAGACTATACTAGATATGCACACAGCCAGGAATTGCCAGTTTTAAAGCAAAACAAAAGCAAAACAAAATGAAATAACTCAGGAAAATCAAGCATAGTATACGCGCGCGCGCGTGTGTGTGTGTGTGTATATATATATAAAAATTCTAGTATTATTTGTCTCCTATTATTCTGTTTCAGAAACTTAAATGCTAAACTAAAGAATGAAAGAGGCTTTTTATATCCATCTAAAGACAGTACATTTACTGATGCTATATTAAGTAAAAAATAGCATTGAGATTAAAAAACAGGTTATATGTACACATATACAAAACTATTAACAAAACAAAACTAGGAAATTGTGGTTATGTTAAAGCTGTGACTGCCACACATTAGTAAGTATCCCCAAAGAATGAAATTGGCTATAAATTAGAAAAAATATTAGCTATTTATGCCAACCATCATGGGTAGTACTGTAAGTGCAATCACTAAATGATTCTTTCTCCTTATTTCTAAATGTTTAGGGCTCCAAATTTCAGAGTGTGTCAGTATGCTTTCTATATGTGAACACCCATCTACCTAAATAGAAATGAATGTGCATAAACACATGGATATGTTTAAAGATCCAAGAGGCTTCAGCAGGAATTCAGATAATATACAGATCATAAAGATGTCTCAGAATGCTATTATTAGTTTATAGTCAACTTCTCCTGAGATAAACTTCCCTCTACTCAACTCCCTTCAAAATGCAGAAAGATCTAATTTTTAATAAAGCACCCAAGCAGTGGACATATAAGTTTCAAATCATTAACTCCTATCAAGAAGTTCTTGATTCTAAGTAGTTAAATGTCTTCCATGCCATGTATATATCATGTCACATCATGTAGTACTCTATTCTTTTACTTGCATTTTCCCTAATTTATGAAACATTCTACAAGTTGATATTCCCAATCTTTTGGTTTTATTTTGTATTGAAACCTAGGAACGAACCAGGGAAAAATCTTTAGAATTTTAATTTAAACATTCTTCAGATATGCTTTCTCAGATTGACTCATGTCACCATCAGTACTTAACATGCTATTCATTCTCATTTAACCACTAAGGATATGAGAAAATACACAGTTATTTTTATTCTTTTATATCTATAATTATCCTTATCTCTCACTAGATCAAAGCATATGGAACATAAAACCATAGGCTTTGGAATCTCATCAACTGCAGTTTTAATACCTGCTCCACTACCTTCTATTTATGATCTTCCTCACTGGAAAAATGGGAATGATTATACACAGAATCATCAAAGAGTCAAAAAGAAAATTAATTGAGATAATGGAGCAATTATTTTAAGCAACATGATCGTACCAAATTCAAGGAACTAGATTTGACCACCAACAAATGTTGAGAAACTATGAGCAAGGTGTAATACTTAATGCTTCAGAAAAAACAAATGTGAGTAAGAAGGGATCATTAATGACATTTTACTAATGTGAGATTAAAAAATAGAAATAGTAGGTATATAAATACAAATAGGATGAAGGCAAGGAAAATAAACTAAATGTTATATGCATCTGGATAAAGAAATCTGCCTTTTCCACTTTTGTAGATTGTCACCTGAGAAGGGAGAGGGTAACCTAATGTCTCCAGTACTCATCTGTTTTCCATCTCTAATCCTTCGCTTCATCCATATCAACCATTCACCAGTTTACAAATCAATTTGCCTCCCTAACTTTGGACATTTGATTCTCATTGGAGAGATTTCTTCACTCTTTCCTAGCAATTTTTATGCCAATCATCCTGGGTAATACTGTAAGGGGAATCACCTTCTTCAACATCTTCTTCTTTTTTTTTTAAAGATTTATTTTTATTTATTTGAAAAACAGAGTTACAGAGAGAGGCAGAGACAGAGAGAGAGAGGTCTTCCATCCGCTGGTTCACTCCCCAGATGGCCACAACGGCCAGATCTGCGCCGATCTGAAGCCAGGAGCCAGGAGCCAGGAGCTTCTTGTGGGTCTCCAAAGTGGGTGCAGGGGCCCAAGGACTTGGGCCATATTCCACTGCTTTCCCAGGCCATAGCAGCGAGCTGGATTGGAAGAGGAGCAGCCGGGACTTGAACCGGCACCCACATGGGATGCTGGCACTTCAGGGCAGGGCTTTAACCTGCTGCGCCAAAGCGCTGGCCCCTCTTAAAGACCTTCTCAAATGTTACCTCCTAGGAGAAGTGAGGGTGTTCACAAAGCAATCTAAATAAATGCTTGTTAATGAGCAATTAATTAATTATTAGGAAGAATGAAGAATAAAATTTTCTATAGCCTTTTTTGAGTGCAATCAACTAGGAAAGCACTAGAAAATGTAAATGAAAATATTCTAGATAAACAATAGAAGATGTAAAATTTTAAAATGTGTTCTAAAAAGGATAAAAAATTATAATGAATATTTCACAAATGATCTATATTCATCTTCTCTTTAACCTATCCTTAACTTAAAAATTGTTTTTGAAAAACCTAGTCATAATATGAATGACTAATGCTATTTAATCTTTAAACTCAAGCATTACTAAAGTGCTAAAACAGTAAAAGTTACATTTAAACTAAGTCAGGATACCAAGTTTTTAAAATATTTTGTTATGAAGTAATTGTATTTAAATAGAACTACTGCTAGGAAGACCAAAATTTAGCTTATGGTTTACATCTGATTCTGGGGCTGGTGCTGTGGTGCAGCGGATTAAACCTTTGCCAGGAACATTGGCCTCCCATACAGGTGTTGGTTTGAGTCCTGGTTGCTCCACTTCTGATCCAGTTCCCTGCTAATTTGCCTGGGAAGGCAGCAGAAGATGAACCCAGTGTGTTGGCAGCTGCCAACCATGTTGGAGACCTGGATGGAGTTCCAGGCTCCTGGCCTTGGCCTGGTCCAGCACTTGCTGTTGCCATTTGGGGAGTGAACCAGCAGATGGAAGATTGCTCTGGCTCTCCTCCTCTCTATGTAATTCTTCATTTCAAAAATAAACAAGTAAACCTTAAAAAAAAAAAAAAAAGAAAGAATGTACAAAAAAGAAAATTAGCTGGGTATTTGGTACAGAGGTTT